CTCAGTAAAGCTGGATCAGTATCAGCAGAGCTCGTGCAAAGGCAGTCACGCTGCCTTCCTTACAATTTTGATGTACTTTACATCAGACCCTTTAAGGTAGGAAATAAGTGGAAACAACTCATAATGCCAAAGTCGAGGGCATTTCTGCAGGGAAAAAAAAAGTTTCTTAGCAGTGCCACTTCATATAATTATTACCTCTCCCTGCCCAGCAGTACAAATACATCAGCTACTTATACTAGTGCATGACCAGCACTGAAACAGGCCAAATTGACTATCACAAACCATTTAAACACATATCCTCTGCTTCCATCCCCCCAGTCCATGGACACATTTTTTAACTTAAACAAGACAAAAGCCATTTTAAAATTGAGACCTGCTCAGAGAAACTCTGCTGAGTTCCACAAATACAGAAGTAAGAAGAAAGAGTATTTAACACTTTACAAAAACAGGGAGAAAAAAGTTACACCAAGACAGACAACACCATGATTCCCGACCTCACAATGCTATTGGCTACAGCTAAGAGGTCTGTAGAAGTGTCTGTTGTTTTTGCAAAGTTTGAGTCCCTTCAGAAGTTTACTCTCACTATTCACTCTGCTGCTATCAGGCTGTGTATTTGCCCCACTGTTCCTAGTCCTGCCAGCTGGGCCAAGTGGCCCTGCCAGCTTGGTTTATGGATATACTGATGGGTTTGGGGGGCTGGAATGTTTTAGGATGACATCGGTCTGTTTGGGAGGGTCTCTCCTTGAGTCCATGAGTTCACTCCTGAAGCAGGCCGAAAGGAGACTGTAAAGAAGGAACCAGAGAAAAGAAAAACATGAATGTACAGGACCCTTTGCCAGCCACCGAGAAAAACAGTTACTTTCCACCTTCATGATCACAGTACGGGCTTTCAAAGAGGGGAAAAAGCAAATGTCTTAGCACCTACAGTGAGGGTATGTAACAGGGAGATTTAGGAAGCTGGAAAGCCCCAGGCACAAGCAAGTGCTTGGCAAGGAAGGGAAAACAACCAGTTGATAGAGAAATCTGATGCTGTCCTAGTCTCATGGGTACAAATAAGGCCCTGATTATGTTTCCAGTGACAAATCCAGTAATAAAAGCACTCAAAGAGGAAAAGGAGTAGCAGCTTCCATTGAGTCTACTTCTAACTAGAATCACTTCAAAACCAGAAGCTGGTGCTAGAGAAGGAGAACAGTGCCTATTGGCCATACTGATTACAGCTCAATTATTCTCCTTTGAAAAGCTGAGGAGTCCCTGGAGCCTCCAGCTGATGCAGAGGGCACTGTACTCTCAGAGCCCTTAAAGCACTTCTACCTGGTTCCTTTCATCGTGGCCATGCTGTACTGAGAACACTATCCAGGTGCCTGGAGCTCACATGCAAGCACAGCACTACAAAACCAAACCAATCCATGCAAAAATCCAGTTAGCTTTCACACCAAAAGTGAGATTAATGAGGTGAAGGTACAAAGAATGCCTTCCTCACCAGCCCCCTTCCCACAACAGCAAGCACTGGGATCCCTGCAGCTCAGCTGGAGCACTCCAGGCATGGATAGCTCAGTTCTGTCACAGCTCACTAATGAGGTCAATTCCTTCTCATTTGGACAGTGAGTTGTGCTGCTCACAAGACTGAAGGGCAGCCAGTGGGCTCATAGCTGCAGCCCAGCTGATAGGAAAGAAATCTTTGCTGGGGTGCAAGATCCCACTTGGATGTAAGAGCTCCCTTCTTGGCAGCCATTGGAAGACTTAGTAAAAACCCTTAAATCACAGGAGTTGGGCTTGGTGTTCCTTATGAACTTTATGGGTCTCTTCCAACTTGAAATATTCTGTGATTCTCTGCTGCAGGAAACTGAAATACAAATAGTTTTGAAAACAGTGCTCAGCAGAGTGAAACCCACTATATGAAAAAGTGTTTTCTATTGAAACCCTTAAAGACTACGCAGGTAGCTCCGTGGGAATATTGATGGCAAATATATTTCACATCAGGGCAATGAGGAAACATTCTCTCCCCAAAGCATGAGCCACCTCTGCTATCTCTTGCAGCAGTAATCATCTGGCAAATCTATTTTACACAAGTGGTAGTACGCTATGAACTCTTCTAAATAAACATGTGTGCTGCATGTGTTCGAGTATGGGCCCCAGGATTTGTCAGTGAAAAAGGGAGAATAGAAACTGAAAGAAAAAAACCCAACAACTTCCCACCTATGATCATGAAGGTATTTGATATAACAGTAAATAGGAGAAAACCATGCACAAAGGAGCAAGCAGAGAGAGGAGATGAGACAGAGAAATATTGTGGTCTGGCACAATGTGGAGCACTGCAGTATTTTAGTCATCTAGTGGGACACAAGAATTCTGACTGTCACCAGATTTGTTGTTCCTACTCCAGAACAGTCAGACAGCTGCATCTGCTGGCCTGTCAAATGCAATGCTGGTCTGTATGTGCACGAGAGCCATTATACAGTTGCTTTCCAAAATGACAGATTTATATTTTTAAAACTACTTTCACCATGATCATCTTAACCTTACTTTTCCTACTCTTCAAAAGAGGTGAAGCTTTCCATGTTGTAGGAATGACAGGGAAAACTCTTTCCACACACCTAGATAGCTTTTCTATGTTAACCACTGCCCCAGAAAGTAAACTGAAAATCCCAGCAGTTCCTCCACCAAGGTGTGACTCTGGAGCACATGTGGATGCTGCTCCCTTTTGAGAAGGAAGAACCGAAGGCAATTTTCAAACATTCCATTCCCACAGAGCCCTGCTAGGACCCACAGCTTCCAATACATTCCACCTTGGTCATTGCATACACACTTCCCAGTTCCCACTTTTCACATGTGCATTGAACTAAAGGTGAACCGGGACGAAAATTTTAAAGTACATCCCTGCATACAAAGTGAAAGGCCAGAACAGACTCAGAAAGGAGTCCCTGTGCTCCTGAGTTTGGCCAGTCTGACAAGGAAGCAGTGGCAAGACATCTCCCAGCAACCTGCTCACATGCAAGGCTGCTCTTATCCAAACCATACCCTGCAAAGCAGCTGCTCTCCCCATTCTCACATTGAGACCTGAAACTCCTCTTTTGGGGTGCAATTGCATCTTAGAGTCTTTTCAGCCTAAACATTCCTTTGTCCTGAACACTTTCCTTCAGATATCAAGTCATACCATGGATTACTGAAGAAAAAGCACCAAAACCCAAAGTGCACTTAAGAAACTTTGCATTTCAGCACACAGGACACTGCTTGATGGCAGCCTGTGGACAGAGACAACTGCAGCAGCTCTGGACAAATACTAAAAGTTATTTTTCTCCATGCTCCTGGCACCCTTTAAAGCTCTTAATCTTTCTCCCTTGCATGAGCACACTCAGCAACTGAGAAAAATGAGTCTGTAACGGGACAAGTGCCAGGAGACATGCCAGTAGAAGTTTCAATAAATTAAATGGCTAAACTTCTACATGCTGGTCTTAAAGGTAACACAAATACCAACCTCATTTGCCAGGAACCTATTCTACTGATATAGAAAGAATGAAAAAAGTAATTATGGCAAAGCCAACTGTCAGCACCAAGGGAAAGCTGTCACCTGCTGCTGTCCGTTTCTGCTTACAAAACCATTTCTCAGCTGAAAAGCCTGTGGTTCAGGTGAAGCTTTGAAGACAAGCAGTAGAGCACACAAATGCCACAATGACCAGGAGCTAGTAAATACAAGCTATAGTATATACAAACAGTGCAGATGACTGATAAAAGTAAATAACAATAATGAAATTTTTAAGTGCCCCAAAAAAAAAGAGTCCAGAGCCCCTGGATGCTCCAGACATTTTGGCAGAAGGCTTTTCTCACACCTCCACAAGACTCCAGCTGACACTAAAAACACACAGGTCGAAATGTGAACACATGCAGAGAGCTGGCAGAAAGCTGTGGTATTGCAGAAGTCCTGAGACAAGGCCAAGGCACTGAAACAAATCCCTACAGGCTCAAGTGGGACTTATGTGGTGCCTTGGCCCCATGCTAACCTCTGCAGAGGAATGAGTTATACCCACAGCCTCCAGGAACGCACGAGATCCCAAGCACTGCCACTGGCAGCCACCTACAGCCCGGGTGCTATTTTCTGTCGCCCGAGACAGCAGGTGAAGCAATGCCCATGAATGACGCTGCTTACTGCCCATCTGGGAAGTTAGTCTCTGCCCAAGCCTCTGTTTGCAAAGCTTTAGGAACCCAGACACCTATCTGGCCTTTCTTTTCCCCATCCTCCTCACACTTACAGCACCCAGAGCAATCCCTGTTAGCCAAGTTCAGAAAGGATGGAAAACTTCTCATGAGCAATGTGAAAAGTCATCTGGCAAAGGGCAGTTTTTGACAATACTTCAAAAGGGTGTATAGAATTTTTTTTAAGTGCTCACTAGCCACAAAGGACATTTTTTGTGTTTCAGCTTTGCTCTCGACTTTCAGCTGCATGTTCTACAGCTGAACAACCTGAAGGATTGTTGTACCACTGAAACACCAGCCGTCCAATGCATGAGACATGCCCTGCAGCAGGGTGCAAGCACTTGGCTGAGCTCGTGCTCACAGTTCCAGCTCTACAACTCTTAGCAAGGTGGTCAGATGGATACCCTGGAGATGGTTCCATGTTTGCTGCCATTCCCACAGAGCAATGGGACGGGAGTGCACCCAGCCTGTGCTGCCCAGCAGGGATGGGCACACACAGCAGGTTTCTGGCCACAGTCTGTCAATGGCTCTGCCTCGCTGTGCTGTGCCTTGGGCTCTGGCTGGAAGTCAAATGAGGCACTGACCCCATCCTCATTCCCCTCAAAGGCCGAAAGTTGAAATATGTGGGATGACAGAGCAGAGAGGGACCTTGCACGCAGTCAGGACGTGCGCTGGGGGAAGCAGGACTGCATTGTCCCATTGCTCAGCCCTCAGCTGAGCACCGTGTCCCCGTGAACACCGTGCAGAACCTTCTGTGTCTCTCTCCTCTCTCCCCACTGCACTGACACTGCAAGCAGGCTGGTACTCACTGCTTCTGGAGCAAGTGCTGGTGCTGCTGCTGCTGCTGCTGCCGGTAGGTCTCGATCGTGTGCTGGGGAAGGAACTGCATCAGCTCCAGGGACTCTTTGATCTTCAGCAGCATTTCGTACGTCTCCCGTCCCCTCACCTGGGTCACGGGAAAAGGACGGGGGTTGGGGGGAAAGAAAAGCTTTAAAGGACTGCATTTATAGACCTTATTGATAGTAACCTTAGAAAGTCTTTGAGAATGTCAAGTAAACAACCAGGGCAGAATGCAAATAGTCTGTTTATACAGTATGCTCACACATAAAAATGCTAGCTTTGTTCTAGAGGTGCAGCAAATACTGAAGAGTGATAATCTCACTGCAGGCTGATGAACATCTTGGGGTTGTCATATGGCTCAGTGTGGATCTATGCCAGCCAAAAGCAACATTCTGATCCAACTTATTTAGACAGAAAATGTCTTTACTTGCCTCAGATGTAAGCAGATCTGGTGCTGAATATTACATGCCCTCAGAAAAGACAGCACATGAATTTGGGAGCTGGGTTTGGCTCTCCCTTCTTCTCCAAGCACACCATGATTTGTGATTTAAGCAACTAAATACGGCTCATGAGAAGGAGCTAAATGGCCAGTTAGAGAGATTTCTTGCCCTTTCCGAGTCTGCACTTAATACAGCGTATTTTACTTCTATCACTGCATTACAATTGCAATAAACATAAAAGCCACAGAAGCATCCACCTATGAGTAAGACAACACCCAGTCTCCTACAGAAAAGTCACAGACCCAGAAAGGACAGAGGAGGAACCTAGTTAGATCTCAAAGATAGTGCTTCTACCAGGACAGAGAGATCCCTTGGGATATTCTCATATGCCTTGCATAAGCCATTCTTAGCACCTAGTCGGATTTTAAATATTTTTATTTGGAATATGTATTTAAAATTAGCAGTTCATGGAGTTAAAGAAAATAAAAATTATTCTTTCACACCACAGCCCCATCCTCAGTTCTTTCTGAAGTCTAGGTGAGCCTCCAGTCACCATTAAAGATACTAAACATAGGGTAAATAAAAAGAGAGAGAACTCACTGGCAAGTACAAGAGCTCGTCATCTGGGGAGCGTCTTTTTTTGATAGATGTCATCTGAATGCCATGAGTTCCTTGCCGAAAAGCTGGAAAAGAAACCCCAAAGCCATCCCATTAAAAAAATAAAAAGGGGGAAGAGGGAGGGGAGGAGCATACAAAGAAGAAAAAGGCAAAAAGAGAGATACAAAAGAGATATAAAGTGCATGACCAGCTCAGATCTGTAATGCTCTGAAGGGATCTCTGCCTGAGCCCCTCCAGAACTGTCCTTGCAGCTCCTGGCTCCTTAAGGCAGACACAACTGCAGATGCTGGCTGGCCATGTCACTTGGGGAAACACAAGGAGTGCTGGCAAAACCCTGGCAAGTCACACTCCAAACAAGCACTGGCTCTTTAAAGGAAAGTTACAGAAAGTTTTGGTACTACAAGGCTCGCAAGGCTGCTGGTGAAATCAGTGATCCATGAAGGTGAGACCATTGGTCGGGAGCAGAACTCCCTAAGAAAACAAAGTCCCTCTCTAGTCTGCCTCCTGTCATAAGCTGTGCCCTGCTGTTCAGCCTGCTGCCTTCACTGAGTACAGGAGAAACCAAAGGTGGATTTCCACATCCTGCATGTCCAGTGAGGACTTGGCTCTCTTCAGAGCACAGAGAGGCCGCTTGCCAGGGTGTCTGTGATGCACAGCAGGGTTTGTGTGCAGCCTCAGTCTAGATCCCTGTGGCTGGAAGACACCTGCCACAGCACAGAACACTGGCTAGATGAAGCAAAGAATAACAGCATGACCCCAAACAAGCAGCAAAGGTTCAAAAGGTTAGAGTTCCAGACATACAATTGAAAAGTGGCAAATAAACACCCCCTCCAGTCACCACTGGCAGGGCTAATCTAACACCAGCAATGCTGCAAGGGAGCCCATACACCCAGACTGTCAAACACTGCTTTGTGAACACCAGCTCAATTTTTAGGCTGATTCACAGGGAGAACAGCCATATAATGCCCCTCTGCTGCAAGCCCATGCACAGCACCCCGAGACAGCCCCATTGCCATCTGCCCAGCTCTGCAGCTACTTACGGCGCTTCGTACCATCACCATTCTTTGTGCTGTCAGACACTTGCTGCTTGCGGATGCTGTCCTCGTCTGCCTTGCGGTCTCTGCCTGGGCAAGCACAAATACGGGCTTCGAAACATCGGCGGCCCAGCACTTGCCCACTGGGAAGAGAGGTGAGGAGAAACATCAGCTGCCATCCTGGACACAGGCCAGCAGCTCTCAGCTTCACACCACACTCTGCACCTTCCATTTCCCAGTCTAGATGTCTCAGGTGCTGGGCAACTCCCAGCTGCAAAGATCTAAAATATATCCTATAGCCCCTTGAATGAAGCTGTTGCTAAGGATGTGGAATGCTGCCTAAGTGGAAGAGGAGGCAGAAGGGTGATGCACAACTCACTCTCTGGTTTCCAGGGTCACAATGATAAGGATCGGGCGGCGGTTCATCCCTCCAACGCAGCTGCTGTTGCACATGAAGTTGTACAAGACTGTGGTGAACTCGGTACCGACCTGGGTGAGACAAAGGTGGAGAGGAAGAGATGGTGGATGGAAAGCTCTGCTTTCCCCAAGCTCTCCTCTTGCATTTCCCAAGCTGGGCTGCAAGTGGACCAGCATGAAACAGGCCCTCAATGCAAAGCTTCCTTAAGAGAAATGAAGAATCCCTGCTCCCAAGGGATAAGGAGGGACAGAAAGGAAGAAGGGATTCATTGTCATGAGGATAGGGAAAGCCCAAGATCCCATCTCGTTTGACCAGGGTTACAACCCCCAACCCCTGTGTGCCAGGATGGCACCAGCTCGAGCTCACAACACACCTGGGGTGGCTCATAGGGGACCAGCACACTCTGCCTCCCAGTGATGGGGTCTTCTACATACTGGGCATGGCTGTTCCCTTCCACTCTGATCAGGTGGCTGGGAGGTGCAATCTGTCCTGCAAAGGCAAAGAGGAAAAAAACGACAGACTGTTCAGTGAAGTAAGGTCATGCACAGGGTGGCAAGATCTGCCATCAAGGGAGATGCACATGGCACCAGAGGTCCATCAGAGCACACAGCTGCCTCTCAGCCCTTGAAGCATCCCTTCCCAAGATCCCTGCTGCCAGACACCAAAGGCAACACAGGCTTTCTCAAGCTCACTCCGGATGTCTGTGGCTAAATTTGAACAAGGGCTTCCCAAGATCCCAGAAGAAGCTGAATGGCAGCCCACAGCAGTTCTTCCAGCAGATAACTCCTACTGGATTTTCACACCAGCTGAAATCCTTTATTTTCCTCCCTCTAATTCATATACAAAGCAAATTCCTTCAAGTCTCAATTCCCACTCTTTTCCACATCAATTGTTGGGTGTCTTCTGCTCCCTTCCATCAGTCTTTATCCTTAAAAAAAAGATTCAAGAAGCAAAAGAACTATGCATTTAATTACTGGTCAGCTTGAAAAACCATGGTTGCTTACAGCAGCAGCAGAAGGGGACATAATCTTCTTGGTTCCTAGGCCACTTTGCAAATTTTCTTCAGTGTTTTTATAACATACAACTGAATTCTGAGGAGTCTGCTATGGATTCATCTCAAGAATTTGTTTTGTGTATTAACTGTTCATTTCTTACTCAAAATACAGCCTATTTCTACAGAAATACTTATTTCAGAATAAGAATTTATAGGGTTTTTTCCCTTTCTTAAAACTCCGTTACTGAATGGTGTCAAACCTCAATAAATCCAGTCCTGTCAGAAAAGCACTTTTTAATATAAAAAACTGTTTCGAGGAACTGTCTCACCTCGCTCTGATTTTACCCTCCCAAGTCCTTGCTTATTTCTGGGGCTTGTCTAGCTGGCTGCACTGCAACCAGCAATGGAATCCAGACTCCCAGAACATCCTGCTAACTGACACCAACTGGGTATTTTTTACAGTAGGAGATAAATAATGTATGTAGAATAAAACAGATGCTCATCTGGACTTATGTGAACTTAAATGACCAAGGTAAAATGGAGCCCAGCTCATGAGCTTGCAGAAAACCAAAGGACATTTTAAAAACAGCTGCTACTTCACTAACATGAGGAGAAGCAAGTAAAAGATTAAACCATTATACTGAACTGAGAGTGTTACGTGTAGAAGAACGTTGCCTACAGTTGATGCTGGCACTTAGCATTACCCTGCCGGAGATAAACAGCCCCTCTGTCTTTGAGGTGTGGATTAGGGACTGGAGATGATATTGCATCCTGTTACTAGATCCCTGTCCCAGCCACATGGAAGCTCATTCCTGAGCACAAGAACAGCTGCTTCTCATTACAGGAGCAAAAGCAGAGCAGAGAAAGGCTACCAGAGGGGCAGTGCCTGCCATGGGGACAGATATCCATCCGACCTGGGCAGGCACGAGGTTTATTTCAGTGCCTTCCTCCTAAGGACGAGCATGCACAGGGACAGCTAAAGCATTGATTGCATGACCCTTCCTGCCAAGCACAGGAAATAAAAAGCTGCACAAGGCGTCACAGGGAGGTCTGTTTTCAGAAGGTTTGCTCTGAAGCTGCTGTCACACCTCTCAGTGGCCGCTCATCAGCCAAGCAGCTCTGGAGAGGGGCTGCCAGCACAGCACTGCCCTCCTTACCCTCGTTGAACTCCCGGCTCAGCTCGTGGTTCGGGCAGCGTTTCACCACTTCAGTGACGTGTTCAGCTTTCTTGTAGACTGGCATAGCCCTGATGACAGCTCCCTGAGGCGGTGGGGTCATCACTTTGATCTGGATGGGACATGTCTTGGCGATCTGGCAGTACAGCTTTTTCAGCTCGGTAGAATACTGAATGGGGAACAGACCACAAGAGAGTCAGAAGTTCAGCTAGGGATAAAGGCACACCAGGAACATGGAGATGGCTTTGTAGATGTGACTGAAAGCACCAGCCACTGCACAGGCACTGCATTTGTTTGTACAACAGCCATGCTTCCAGAAAAGTGACAAACCCCCTAGACCTTTACCTGCTGTAAAATAGCAGAGCATAAATCTACATACCAGCTTTCCCAAAAGCAAGAATCTTCAGATAAAGAGCACTTCATTTACTCAAACAAATAAAGCCTTTATTTCCCTTGGGCTCACACTCCCTCTTGCAAAGGACACCCAACACCCACCTAACAAAACCAATGCTATTCTTTTCACAGCATCCTGTAATCCTGGAAGCACTCAAAACCACAGACATAAAAGTGCTTCATCCTCTTTTCTAAGAAGCCCTCTTACTCTTGCAGAGGGATTAAATAAAAACATCAACCTTGGAACTGAACAGTACTTGAAAACAAGACCTTGATCAATTTGGGACTTACACCAAATATGACATTTCAGCCATCTCTTAAAATCATCTCCTACATCCATTAAACATCTCTGTAGCAATCCCAGTCTCCCTCTCTCCAGTCTTCCCTCCTGTATAAGGTTGTTCCAAAACATAGCAGGTTTTTCAGAACCCTATTCCAGAGGCATTCAGTTTTCTCCTGGTATTCAGACATCTACGACTGCAGAGCTCTCCCTGTAACAACCTAACCCACAGGAATTGCTGGCATTTCCCCATCTCCTGTGTCCTCAGTTCTTGCAGATAAAGAAAAGTGAAAGCCCCAGGGTGTTTGTTTCCTCACAGGAAAAGGTCTCTAGCAGCCATGGGGCAATAGAGCCCCGTTCCCAGCTGTTCAAACACAGCAGTGACAGGTTCATACTGGTCAGGAGCACCCTGTGGCCATGGACCTCACTGGGACGGGGAGAGCCAGCGCGTGCAGGGGTGGGTGGCAGATGATGCAGCAGGAAAAGGATTAGCTAGTGATAGTCAGGGATTATTTGCATTTCAGAGTGTACACACTGCTAACATAGGAAAAACCAAACTTGCAAGAGACACTGGGTAGGAGAGAGGGATTAAACATAAGCCAAGCCAGTCCCCTCCCTCCTCACTCAACACCATCCTGCCATGTGGCAGAGAAGATGCTACAGGTATTTAAGATACAAAAAAAAGATTTCTTTAAAATGCAAAGGCCAAATTGTGCAATGTATTTTATGTGCCTGCAGGCTAAAGATTAAACCCACAAAGGATTTACCCAGCTCGCGGAAACGGGGAACATGCCAAACAATTACAAAAAAAAAGTTGCGAAACACATCTAGATGGCGATTTGTATCATACATCTTTTAAGCCTGAAATTCCTTATTGTTTTTTAATTAAAAAGCAATTCCTTTCTGAAGGTAAGAGTGAGATCACCATGTTGTCTTTCCATCTCAAGAGGTAGAAAAAGAATCACTTTTATTTAAAACGGAAGAAAACCTGTAAAGTGTTATTTCCTTCAACACATCAGCCTGCTCATAGCACTGTGAAGGTTTCAAGGACAGAAAGCCTCAAAAATCTCAAAATGCCAACTAATCACCTGGATGCCTTGACATCACTGAAGCATAAAGAATTGGGCACCCAAAGGTGAAACACAGGCATAAATATTGAAGACCAGCAGTGCACAGAAGGCATGGCATACGTGTCCAGGGTCTGCAGGCATCCAGAGAATTGAACAAATGGAAGGAGATACACACCCTCAGTCACTGATCAGGACTCGTGGTGCTGACTGTAATTTTACGTATCTTCAAAGAGAAAGCTGGGGTTACAATAAAGGGGAAAACCAATAATCACTGCTTTCAGAAGGACTGAGATGTACCCAAAACCAGCATGAATATTGAGGATTGTGATCAAACAGCACAGTCCCTCAGTGAGCAGAGAAAGGGAGCTGCTTTTCATCCACCCTTTGGCAACCCAACTGTTAGGCCCCTTGGGCTACAACCAGCAAGGAAGGCATTAGACCTACACTCTAAATTCACAGAAAGCAAACAGCCAAGAGCTAATGGGTTATGATGAACAAGCCTATCCAACACAGAAACACAGGGCAGACTCAAGAGCTGCAGGTACTGGCCAACAACTTGAACTTGGCATGTCAGGAAAGGAGGGTAACCAGGAGCCCACCTCTGCCACAGTCAGGACGTGGGAGGATTTAGTGACAGTGCCCAGCAGAGTCAAAAGAGGCAACAGGGGCTGAGCTGCCTTTTTGTCACCTGACTGCAAGAGGAGTTCAAGGCTCACAGGCATTGCACAGGCTTGGGGACATGGCACAGAGCCATGATCTCACATCTACCCCAGGCACAGCCGCCTGTGAGTGTGTAATCACTGAAGGGACAGTCATTTAACACCGGTGTAAATCTGGCCATGGGGTACCTGCTGTCAGACAGAGACTGGCTTGAGTTTCCCACCCCGCCAACTTTGCTGCAACCAGGAGTAACCTGATGCACAGCCATTTACTGGCATAAATAGATGCCAACAACTAGGTCATAGTGACTTCGTCCTGGATCAGTGATAATCGCTATATCCACAGAGCAAGACAGGATATTGTATATAGATTTCAAAGCAAAGGCGCTTCAGAAAGAAAACCCGAGGCAGAAGCTGTTTGTGCACTCGGATAGTGCCTGAAAGCAAGGATCACCCTCTTGGCACAGGCGCTGCTCCTCAGTGGTCCCACACCACCCCACCCTGCAGGAGGTGACAGTCACCCTGCTCACCAATTTGCTGTGAACTGACACTTGCTGTAATGAGGGGTAAGAGTGTGAGCAATTTCCAGAAATCCAAAGCATGACTATGAATCAACATACTTGAGCAGGAAAACTAAACTAATTAGGAGTACCAATATAAAAAATGAGTTTGACCAAATAAACAAGTCTATCAGTTAACAAGATGACAACAACCACTACCCAGCAGTAGGAACAAAGGTTGTGCCAACAGCCTGAGAAGTGCAACACCACTTCCAGAGTACAGACCTGAAAGCCATTTAAAACAAAAGAGCTGAGCCTGGAAATGTGTTATCTACTCAAGAGAGAGGAAAGAGCTTTGGCTCAGACTTTTCTTTGGAGTTCCACTGCTGCCTGTCAAGAATTCAGCTTTTTGCTCAATAATACATTTTAAAATGAAAGATACAAACATTGCAGTGCCTGCAGCTCTGCTCTCCCCACCTGCCTGTGCAGACATACTCTATTACCCACTCCACGCACCCTGGCTGGTAATTCAGTATCACAATACACACGCCAGCTACCATCAGGCAACACCTGTCTGATTTCTCAGTAAGCCCCTTCTAACTGAAGGTGTGTCAACAAAGAGTTGAAAGGCAAAAACAAAACACTTCTTGACTCTCAAATGGAGAATGTTTGCTAGAAAGGACTATAGTCTCCTGAAAGGAAGTGCTCAATGCAATACAAGCCACAATGGCTTTTTACAGAGTACTCAATTCCTCTGCAGAACTCTGATGCAGTGAAATCCCCTGAACACTACTTTCGAAATCTAGCTCTAATATCTGTTTTACCATCTGATCCAGCAGAGGGATTATGGCTCCTAAATCTTTAAAAGGAGTGGGGTTCAGTCAGTTTTACAAATGCTGATGGATGTCAGCTTGAAGGTGATCCCAGAGGTTGGCTTAAGGCATTACAGCTCCCTGAGCCCCTCCTGCTCAGATCAACAGGTCTTTGAAATCTTTTGCAAGCTTCTTTCAAGCAGTCATGTTTTAGTTCAACTCAGTTAACTAGATTCATTTTACTTGATGTTTTCAAAGCTGTCAATCAGCTATGCTTTCTGTCCCACCAAACTAACTCCCTAAAAAGGGGGGGAAAAAAAGAACAGGTTAGAAGAGTGGGAATGGAATAGCTACCTGCACCGAAGTATTCACAGGTGAAAACAAGGAGAGTCACAAAGAAATAGAAAATAATTTGAACACGTTTTAATTATTTAGGAGAACAAAAGGCAGTGGGAAGAAAGGAAGCTACCAACTAAGAACAAAAAGTGACATTTACACAACCACCTTAAATATTTTGGTATGCTTGACCATGATTTAACTTTTAATTTACAAAAAAACTGCTGGGAGTATGTGGGGGCACATCGGAAACACACATGTGCACACGTACACACACTCTTACGAACCAACTTGTACCCTGAGGACACTCAGTGAAGAGAAGTTGTACCAGGAGTGCTGTACACATGGACATCTCCTTCCAGATTTAACCTTCAGCTCAGCAAAACCTTAACCACGTGGCTTGTGAGCTGACTTCTTGCAGTTCTGTTTGAAGTCCTCTGTCCCACCAGGCTCCAGAGAAAAGTGGGCAGCTTGCTGCTAGTGGGCATAGCTGGCATTCAAACCATGGATGGGCATGGCCAATGGGTCCAGTGACAAAGATCCACCAAGTGGGGCAACAACCTCCAGCCACACAACCCTGGGCACCAGGGAGACAGGCATGCCTGTGAGCATCCCCATCGTGCTACACCCGGGAGGCATGGGAGCAGGAGGGGATGCTGATGCAGCCCCACAAGTGCTTTGCAGGCATTTACCAAATTACTCCACCCCGGGGCAAAGGAAAAACCATGTCACACTCTTTTCCCTCTTGAGAAGGGCAGTGAATCACCCAAGGGCGTTCGCCTTTGCAAAGACTTAAAACTTCATTTTTCCCTGGGGCTCTTCTGCCCCCTCCCCGTCCCCACCGCCTCGCCAGGCGCGCACGAACGGTGCTGATGACTTATTAAAATCCTTCCTCCGAGCGCTTTTTCCCGGGAGCCGCAGCCAAAGGCCGCCTGTTGCCACCTGTCAGTCGCGGGGATTAATTACCTGCGCCGGGCGGGGAGCGGCACATTCCTGCTGGCCTCGCCCGCCGGGATGTTGACATCAGGCAGGTGGGCCCCGCATCCCCCCGAGCCGCGGCTGCGGGGCCCGGCGGGACGCGGGGCCGGAGCGCGGGGTGCCCGCGGCGGGCGTGGGGCA